CCGCTCCTCCCTCTCCCTCTGGCGGCCCCCTCCCACTCTCTGCTGTTCCCGCGCTGGCCGTTAGAGGTCATCGAGATGGTTTCTGATCCGGCCCCTCCCATGCCGCAGGGTCTCTCTTCAGCGATGACATCATCCGTCCACCTCCGCGTCTTCAAGGACCACCTTCTCTGGACGCCAAGCTGCTGCCAGGCTGCCTGCCGCTCGTCGACGCCTTATGGTACCGTCACCCCTCCCTGTGGCGTTCCACACGCAACACGGTGGACGTCCTCCCCCTGCCCTGCCACCTCCTTGCACCAGCCTCAGACCCGCTAACAATGAACAGAACGTCTTGAATGTTAACCAGTTAGCTTTGATTGTAATTAATGAACGCGAAGTGTCATTAGGACCCAGGCTGGGGCTTTGGAGTGGGTCCTCTAACCTTTGCTCAATTGCAGAAGACACTAGGACCACGGCTTCATGGATCCCACCAGCCTACGAAGTGGCCACCAGCAGACGCCCCCAGGACCAGGACGGCGAGGGACCAAGAGGACCAGAACGGACCAGCCAGCTGTCCCTCTTGGCCAAAGACTTAAGCCAGTGCCCTAGTGAGGGGGCACTGGCCGCTAACCCCTGACCTACGCTCATGTCTTGACTCTCCATCAGCACTTTCGGTCTCTCTTCTTGTGTTAACCTGCTAGCGAACTGGAGTGTCTTCCTCCCCAAGGGGGGTATCCATCAATCTTCCACGACTGGCTCTGTTGTGGCCCTTGGGATGTCCCAGTTAGAAGGATCCCTTTGGGAACCTCTCAGGAGGGGGACCTGGACCAAGGGCTTGGCCGACACCTCACTGGCAGTTCCAAGGCCCTGGTGGCTTCTGGAATCCGCATGCTCCCACCGAAGGCATGCCCCACCTCTGTTGAGCTCTGTCTGTCCTCTTTTGGGAAATGGGGGCGAGAGGAGAAACCCCCTAGGGTTGTTGTGAGAATTAAGTGAGGACCAGCAGCCTCAGGCAGGGCCTGGCATAGAGAAGGCAGTCAGCAAATGTTTGTTGAAAAGGTTTGACGGGTCGGCCCGTCCCCACCCCTCCCACTGGTCTCACTGTCCTATTTGTCACCCCCCAACAGCTCTCCCGACAGCCCCTGTCCATGGACTCTGCTTGGAGTAGACAGGGGATCCGCAGAGACGGCCATCGGGCTGGCTGACTTGAGTAAGGACATGCATTGTGCCTGTGGCGATTTCCAGAGCACTTTCTATGTGACGTGAATATGCCATTTCCCTGTGATCTGTGCATGTCAGTGAGGCAGCCTCGTGTCCAGATGAGGATGGATACAGTGGGTATTGATTCGTGCCATTTCAAAAAGCGAGTGGGAATTGAAGACCCTGTCCCGTGGTGTAGGACTTCACGTTTTCAGTAAGGACACTGCAACTGTGGGAGCGTATTTTGTCATATTGCTGGCAAGAGACAGGGTTAGAGTTGGACCCTGGGTCCCAGAGCCATTGTAGCTGCCCTGATTCCGTTCCCCCCAGAAAAGCCCTTTTATTTCAAATCGAACATCTGACAAAGGCACAGTCTGTGTGAAATCCCAGCTGCCCAGGGTGGTCTTGGGGGTCTGGGTGGCCCCAATGCCGGTACCATGGGCTGGCGTCACCTCTTAATAACGGTGTGACCTTAAACAAGTCGCTTGACTTCTCCAAGTTTCAGTTCCTTTCATGGTCTAAATGGGGATTAAAACACACGCACACGCACACGCACACACACACACACACACACACACACACACACACACACACACCCATCCGCGTGTACCACCCCCACAGGGCGCTTTTGAAACCCAGATGATATTACTGCTATGAAAGTGCTTTGTAAATTGCTGTGAAAATTGCAAGATGCTTAAACACCCGAGGTTGTCCCTGACGGTCCCCACGCTCAGCCCTATTATCTCTCAGCCCACACCCAGTAGATGCTGCGTGTGTTTGTGCCCGGTAAACATTTTCCAGAACAAATAAAAACAAGTGAACTCAACAAACATTTTCTGGAGCACCGACAATATGCCCAGTGCACCAGGCTAGGTACGTGATACAAAGATAATGAAAAACGCTCTCTCAGAAGCTAATTGGGTTCCTCATTTGACCAGCACTTTCTTTCGTCCCCTTTTAAGCCAACCAGTTTTGTCCGGACAAGACAAAAACAACTCGGGCCGCTTTAGAGAAGCCCAGCTTGGTGTAGACAATAGCCGCCCGGCGTCTGAAAGGGGCTGATTGGATTAGGTGGCAAATGGAGGGGCAGGGATGACTTGGAAGGTGACAAATGAAGTGGGCGGGGACCCGCTTTGAGTTAATCCAGGCTATTAGGGGGAGATCTTTTGTCTTCCAGAGACTGGCGGGAGCTTTTACCACTGGTTTTTACATCCTTAATGTTCAGGACGGATCGTTTGTGGTCAGCGCAAATCAAGGCCCCGGTGAGACTGACCGGCCTGTAAAATTGAGAGTCCTGCTGCCAGTGCGTGATGATACTGAACGCCAGGGTCACCCTGTGCAGCCGTTGACCCGCTTGATCCTCACAACTCCCTGTCCTGAACCAGGACCAGCCTTCCACCTTCCAGGGAAACAGAGGCTGTCAAGCGGCTCTGCAGATGGGGCCCCATGGCCCCATCGCACCCCTGTTCTAGAAGGAACAGACCTGTCTCGGTCCGGCCCTCCTCCGGCCGGCCGTGCCCTTTCTGTATTTCTGACTTTGCTTTTTCTGCAGCCTGGAGCCGCCGGGCTCTCGCTGTCGGTCTTTCCAGCCACTACAGCCTCTGTCGTTCCTTTCACAGCCAAGCTCCTTGAAAGGCCTGTCAGCACTTGCTGTCTTCCTTCCTCACCTCCAATTCCCTCTTCAACCTACCGCCTCCTGACTCCCTCTGCTCCGTGGAAGGGCTCCCGCTCAGGTAAAGACTTCTCTGGAGCGTTACCCTTGACTCGTGTCCAGCCCGTGGCCACAGCGACACGTTTCTGCCTTGCTCTGGCTCACTTCTGTCTACACACGCTCTCCTGTCTACACACGCTCTCCTGTCTCCCTCTCTTGCTGTCTTCTGGAACCCACATACGAGGTCTCCTGCCTTCTGGAAGCTGCCTCTCGCCAGGCTGCCTTGAGCATCTAGGAGTCGCTGACCTGGGTACGAGTCCTAGTTAAACGACTGAGAGCAGGGACCCTGGGGCTGGTCGACTTTTCCAGGCCAACTTTGTCTTAGTTGCAGGATAGGGTTGATAATCTTTACCTGCAGGTCAGGTAGGATATCCCACAGGTAAGCGCCTGACACTCTTTGAAGGACTTTGGACAGAGTCAATAAAACATTCACGAGAAAAGACCGTCGGAGCCGCCGCTAGATTTTTTTCCCCACCGGGAAGGCCCCAGAGAGAAGAAGCGGAGGGGGAGGGGAGAAAATAATTTAAAAAGAGGCGTTAGAGGTCAAAAGAAGTCAGAAGGGGACTTAGGAAATATTAAAAGCCACCCAAGACACATCCTGAGGGAGGTTTCTTCTTACGTTAGTTTGGGCTCAAAAAAAAAGAAGCAAACAGGAAGGTTTTAAATTGATTATCCCGGTGACAAATCCCAGGAAGCTTTCAAATCAAGTCACCCAATTTGGGGTTTTTAACTCCTTCCAGGGAGTTTAACCTCTTTACCTCTGCCTCCTGGTGAACCCTGCCCCCCCCCCACGGCCCCAAGGTACAGGGAACGTTTCAGGGGATGAATGGATGGGATGGCGCCCCTCCCCAGATGTGGTTTTCAGCTTTCTCCCACTTTCTGCCCTTCTCCCTTAATGAACACAGGGCTAATCTTGTGCCTCGTTGGAGGATGAGGCCGAGACGCTAATGAGGCAGCTGCTGGATTCCAATATTCCGGCCCTAAGGAGCCTTCTTTGTCTGCGAAGGAAAAACACCCTGATTATAATGAGGTGAACTGACCACCGCAGGGCAGGGGCGACGGGGTTCTTAAGCCACACTTGGTCCTCGCCTCTGGCCCCGCGTGGAGTCCATTGAGTGCAGGGTTCATTCTCCACCTCGGGAAGCGGGCGGTGGGGAGGGTTGCACTGTGTGGCCTTTGTGTAGCCCCAGGCACAGATGTGACCAGCCAGGGCATGCGTCCCCTCTCCCCCGGAGCTGAGGGCTAGGGGCTCCTGCTGGTGATCCGTTGCCGGATGTAGTTCTAGGACCCACCGAGGACAAAACTCGTGAGGAACAAGTGGCAGGGAGGGGCCGTGTCCCAGGTGCAGGGCCCGTGCAGGGATCCCGAGGTGAATGCCCGTGGAATGCCCCAGCTGTGCTGAGAAGTGCATGGGTGTTGGTGCCCAGAGGCCCCCCGGGAAAAGGCATAGTTTGGGGTTCGGATTTGGCTCCGGCATGATGAGACCGGGGCTTGGAGGGCTCCTGACTCATCAGTCGGCTGAGAAAAGGCTGAGACTGGCATCCAACCTCAGAACCCCGTACCCATTGGGGCCTTCACCCAGTCCCAGTCTTCATGCTTTCTCACCATCCTTAAACTCCCTAAGGCCCTCAGATGTCTTTAGAGCAGGCACGTCTCAAGTATGACACTTGGCTGTGTCTGTCCCAAGCTCTGGACATTGGTCGCCTCAAGGCAGATCAATCAAGATTAGATCATTCCAATTAAACTTTAGGCTCCAGCCGGGCCTTCAGCCAATTGGAAAAAAACGGGAGGGAGGTGTTCGGGACACAAAATGTCAGTGACAACCCTAAGGGGTCTCGCTCCCTGAGGGAATCTGCCGATTCCAGGTGCTCTGGCATTTTGGTTCTGACTTGGAGGCTCTTTCTGACTTAGCAGAACCAATTCATTCTACCCCAGCACCCCGCTGGAAAGCATCTCCAAGGGCTGACTGGCGCACAGGCCCGAGGCAGCCCTCTGCTCCCTTTTGTGAGGGTCACATCCCCCCAGTGACTGAGATGCGACTGCCCAGCCTGTCATGGAGGGTGTTGAGACCAGGAGTGGGCAAGGGTGTGGCCCTCGGAAGCTAGGGTCACACTGCCCACCTTCCCCCCCATGCCCTGGTTGAGGCATCACAAGATGGTGCACTTCCTGAGGTCTCCAAAGGAGAGGACATCTTTTATTTGTTTGATTTTTCATAGAGGCAGGGTCTTTCTAGGTTGTCCAAGCTGTGCTCCTGGGTTCAGGGTAGTCTCCTGTTTCAGCCTCCCAAAGTGCTGGAATTGCAGGTGTGAGTCGGTACACCTGGCCAGGACTTCCTTTTTCAATAGTAAAGCCGAATCTGTGGGACCTTTCTCACCTTCAAATACATATCAGTCATTAGACTTCAGGCCCTGGCTGGGCACAGTGGCTCATGCCTGTCATCCCAGCACTTTGGGAGACCGAGGCAGGAGGATTGCTTGAGCCCAGGAGTTTGAGACCAGCCTGGGCAGCATAGCAAGACTCTTATTTCAATAAATAGATAAAATAGACTTTAGGCCCTAAATAAACAAACAAAATGGACTCCATCCCAGGCTCTAAGTGAGTAAATGAAGTGGACTCCAGGCCCTAAATAAAATAAAATGGACTCTAGGTCCTAAATAAATACACTGGACTCCAGACCCTGGGGCCACTGCATATTCTAGTATCTCCTCTGGACACGTGAGAAACCCGGGGAGGGTGTGGAGAATGCTAACTGACCAGGTCTTCAGGGTTTGGTGCCCAAGTGTCCTGGAACTCAACAGACCACCTCCACGGTGAGAGTGGCATAAGTTAACTCCCCACCTCACTCCTGCTTGGGTTTCTGGACGTTTCCGAGGCCCCAGCAAAGGGGTCTGAGCTAATTGCTCCCTTGAGGGTAGGGGCAGCCGTTTTTCTCCCATCTTGCTTCTGTGTCACCTGAAAGACTGCGAGGGCACTTCTGTGCCCCGGTGGACCCAGCTCTCCGTCACTTGTGTGTGAGGACGCCCAGCTCCATTTTCCTAGTCCAGGGGCCCGGCTGGCTTCCCTGGTTGGCCCTCTGACCCAGAGCCCACTGAGTCTCCTAACAACCTGCAGGGAAAACCCTGGAGGCTCAGGAGAGGCAGCTTAAACCAGATGGGAGGGAAGGAGTGTCGGCCAGGCAGTCTCCCCACCAGTTCTAGGAGTCGGATAGAGATGGGGTCTTGCTGCGTTGTCCAGGCTAGTCTCGAGCTCCTGGGCTCGAGCGTCCTCCTGCCTCAGCCTCCCAAAGTGCTTTTCTTTCTGCTTTTTATGGTTCCTCCGTCTCCTCTGTTCTCTCTCTTGCTCTCCGTCTCTCTCTCCCCCCCTCCCTCCCCAGTCTCCAATCTGGTCCTCTTGGGGTGCCCTAGGCCAGTCCCCCCCTTCCTCTGGGTGTCCCAGCACCAGCCTGGCACAGAGTGGGGCTCTGTCAGAGTATGTGGGATGTCTGCCTGGCCAGGTGAGTGAATGAAAGGACTCGGCTGCCACACCTGAGCAGCTAGACGGGTGTCTTGGGGACCGCAGGCCAAAAGGGTGGAGGGTGGGTTTCATGTCACTCGAGAGGGGCCTGGGCAGCTTCCCAGCCCCAGCCCCTTTTCAGCGGGGCCTTGCGGCTGCGTCCCTGCATTCACCCGCGCGGCCATCCCGTCATCCAACAGTTGATCCTAACTGAGCATGCCCACAGCCCTGGCTCCGGCCTGGGCACCCGCCACCGTAGCCTGTCCCTTGATGGCCTCTGTTTTCCCCAGGAGGGTGGGCTGGGGGGTTGACCCGGGTGCTGGAGCCCGAGGGTAGGAAGGACGGGCCTGGTTTGCCTCCGCTTTGACCTTTGATTCAAACCCCGGAGGAACTCTCAGACCTGCCTTGGTGGCAGCCAGCCCCTCCTCCTCCTCTGCTTCCCCCTGCCCCGTTCCTGTGGCTGATGCATCCTGGACCCCTGACCCCAAAGCTCTAGGGACCGAGGTGGGCGTGTGGGAACAGCCGTGCTGTGTGTCCCTGGGCCTTGGCCACCCAGGTCTCCCTCTCGAGGTGTGGTCTGCAATTTTGGACCTTTCCCTCGTGGGGAGTCCTTCCTCCCAGTGGCTGCATCCAGCTCCTGGGCCCCTAGTCTGGACCGTGCCCCGTGCAAGGAGATGGGGGTTTGGGGACCTCCAGGGAGCGTCTGAGGGCCTTGTCTCTGCCTAGCTTACTACCTGTCCTGCCCCCCCGGTGGCTCCTCCCTCGGTCTTCCAGGCGAATCTCCTGCCTGGCGCGTCTCCTGCCCTAGTGCCCGGCCTGACCCACCTCCGCGTCTCTGCTGAATCGCTGGGCTCATGGCCCTTTGCCTAACGGGATGGTATTTCTCACCCAGCCCACCTCTGGGGTTGCCTGTCCGCCTGCTGCGTCTAGTCCTGCCTCCGGGCCTGGGTACCCACCCCAGCCCAAGGAGCCACTCCTGCTGCCGACGTGTGAGTTTCCAACAGGCTCTTGGTGCCCACGGGACAGGCCCGTGCCGGCGTCCCCACACCCTACCACCCGTCCTCAAGGGCCTCCCTTCCATGGGCCCGGTTGCAGGGTCTGGGTTGGCTTATGTCCCGTCTTGCCAGCCCGAGATTCCCCGATCTTGTGCCCCGGTGGACACTGCTCCCAGCCTGCCTTCTCCGTCACCGTGTCCCCGGGGGTCCTGGGCACTGCCCTGGCCAGCGCCCTTGCTAATGACTCTGTGTCGGGCTGGGGACTGCCTAGGCTTCGTTGCTTCCTCGCACCTTCTGTCCCTGCACATCCCACACGAGCCAGCCCACCCCACTGAGGAGCAAGCGGCAGGTGAGACTGCGCTCCGTGTCCCTGCGGGGTGTGAGCGTGCGCCTTGACGGGGTGCCTGCCGCACCGCCATCCTAACTCTCTGCCCTTCCCCAAGGAGGATCTCCCCCTCGGGACCTGGACTGTGACCTGGCTAGGTTGGCTGAAGGACCACGGGAGAGACGCGGCGGGGGATCCCCCCACAAGGCTCATCACCCCGGACTCCACCCTTCTCCTAACATGCCTCTTCTCTCCTTCCTGGATTGGGGTGAGTTCCTTTTTTTTTTGGGAACACGTTGACTTTGCCAGGCTCATGTCTCCTCTCTGTTCAAGAGTGCCAGCACTTAATCAGGGCACAGGGCAGCCTGCCAAGGTGAATCCTCTTCCACATCAAACAGCCCAGGGGTCCAGGGACCTAGAAACTTGCTGGAGTGGAGACCCTGGCTTCGCTGAGTCAGCGTGTGTGGGGATCCATGCTGGCCAGCTTGGCCAATGACGGTAAGTGGGGGTGCCCAGCTTTGCTGAGAACAACTCAAGTCAGGCACGCAGTAGGCTCTCGAGAACACTCTGGGAAACATGTTATTTTTACTGATTTTATTTTATTTTTTGAGTTAAGGTCTCTCTTTGTTGCCCAGGCTAGCGTGCAGTGGCACGGTCATGACCCACTGCAGCCTCGACCTCCTGGGCTGAGGAGATCCTCCTACCTCAGCCTCCTGAGTGGCTGGGACTACAGGTGCATGCCACCACACCCAGCCAATTTTTTGATTCTTAGAAGAGATGAGGTCTTGCGATGTTGTCCAGGCTGGTCTTGAACTCATGAGCTCAAGCAATCCTCCCGCTCCTCCTCCCGAAGTGCTGGGATTAGAGGCGTGAGCCACCTCGCCGGGCCTGAGCAAGTTAAGGGCTTTTGCCCTCCCCAGACCCGGCCTGAGGACTCTCTCCGAGATGAGGAAGGAGGAATGCTGTGTGCTCCGCAGCTAGGAGAATATTTCTCACTGCCAGCCATGGTAACGTGGCCCCTCGTGAGATCCGTGGTTTCTCACACATGAGGCTTTGATAATGTCCTTTAATCAAACAGTGGTTTTGAGTGAGTTCTTCTCTTGACCTCTCCCCCTCACCCCTAAAATTGCACAGGGATGGGAATGTTTTTTGTTTGTTTAAATACAATCAGTTACGGCGGAAAAGGAGAAAACAGAGGCTTCAAGCCACTCAGTTCATCCAAGGACCCGTCATCTGCTTGCTTGTGGTTTAGTTATTCAAGGCGCATTGATGGAGCCATCTAGGGCTTGGGGTTGGGCCTTTCTGGGTGCCTAAGATTTTTGCATTGAGGACCCGAGGGTCTAGCTGGGTGCCCTGGGAGGGCCCAGGTTGCAAGGTGGTGTGGGGGGCGGAGCCTCCCACTCTGCATGGTCTCAGGGTTGCAGCATGGGATGGCCCACCGAGGACACCTTCCCTTCCAGGGTCCCGGGGAGGAGCCCGTAGCTCACGCAGGGGCTGTGGGTGTTTTGAGTCCCCGTGTAGCTGGCTCTGTGGCCGCCATCCCTCCTCCTGGTGCTTCTGGGACAGCCGTTGGGGTGATGGGGACCAACTCCCCCAGACTGCCCTGGGCCTGGAGGCCAACACCCCCCGCTGCCCAGACACCCACGCACGCCCTCTCTATGAGCCACAGAGCACATGCCTGGGCTGGGCCCCTCCTCCTCTTGGGGTCCCTGGTTCCCAGTGCAGCTGCCATGATGCTCTTTTCTTTTCCTTTTTTTTTTTTGAGTTGAAGTCTCACTCTGTCACCCAGGCTGGAGGGCAGTGGCACACTCACTGCCACTGCAGCCTCGACCTGCTGGGCTCCGGCGATCCTTCTGCCTCAGCCTCCCAAGCAGCCGGAACTACAGGGGTGTGCTACCACGCCTGGCTAATTTTTTTTATTTATTGTAGAGATGAGGTCTTGCCAAGTTGCCCAGGTGGGTCTCGAACCTGCAGGCTCAGACAGTCCTCTCGCCTCGGCCTCCCAAAGTGCTGGGATGACAGGCATGAGCCACTGCTCCCGGCCTCATTTTAATTTTTAAAGTCTCTCTGGGCCTGATTCTTTATTGTTTTAGTTTATTTTTTATTTTGTAGAGATAGGAGCCTCGCTATATTACCCAGGCTGGTCTCAAACTCCTGGCCTGAAGCAATACTCTCACCTCGTCCCCCCAGAGTGCTAGGATTGTAGGTGTGAGCCACCACGCCTGGCCACACATGTCTAGTGTAGAGTCAACAACTGTCTCATTGCCTGGAACTGAAGGGTTTCTTGGGATGCAGGACTTCTCCTGGGATGCAGTGCTAAAATGTCGGGAATATTAGTTTTAAGCAAAACCCATTCGTGTAGGCAGAGGGGGCAGAGGTGCCCAACCTGGGGCGGCAGCCTTTGTCTTCTTGTTTCTGCTCTCCAGAGATGCCGCAGCCTGGAGGGGGACCGGGGGTGTGTGCCCAGGCCTAAGCCCGGGGGCGGCCCAGGAAGGCTCTGTCCTGTGACATTTACTTCACAGCTAGCATTTGCTGAGCCACCTGCAAACACAGTGATGTGGGGCGGAGGCCTGAGGGTGAGCTTTACACAGAGTGGGATGCTGGTCTCCTGGGAGGGCCGAACATGGAGCTTTCAAGAAAGCATCTGTGGAGCTGGTGCGGGCTGAATGCTTGCAGTCGTGAGACTTGGTCTTGGGGGATGGCTCAGGACTCTTGGCAAGGTGGGCTGAGCCCAGGGGCAGAGTCAAAGCAAAAGGTGAGGTCAGACAGACACGGCCCAGACAGAATCCCACCTGGCTTGCAGTGGCTTTGAAGGAGTCGGGAAGGGGATTGTGTGTGGACCGAGCTGTATTTCGGGTGTTAGGGTTTATATCTCAGGCAAACACATACTCGGAGTTTTGGGTGTCATGAGGTAGAAAATAGGTAAGGAGATAACACATTTTCAGTAAAAGAAGTTAGGCTGGGTGCAATGTAACCCAGCACTTTGGGTGGGAGGATTGCTTGAACCCAGCCATTCAAGACCAGCCTGGGTAACGTAGTGAGATCCTGTCTCTACAAAAATTTAAAAATTAGCCAGATGTGGTGGTGCGTGCCCGTAGTCCTAGCTACTTGGGCGGCTGGGGTGGAATGATCGCCTGAGTCCAGAAGGTTGAGGCTGGGGTGAGCTGTGATCGTGGGGTGAGCTGTGATCGTTTCGCTCCAACCTGGGCAACAGAGTGAGGCTCTGACTCAAAAAAAAAAAAAAAAAGAAAAAGGAAACATAACAATGTATCAGCCTTGCAGACAGTCTCAGGAATTGCAAAAAGGCCCTTAAGCGTTGAAAGAAATGATCATTTTCAGGAAAATTCTTTTTTGATGGATTGGCTGATCTCTGGGTAATCAGGAGGGAAAATGAGTCCCTGACTGGCCAGGTGGTGAGTCACAGAGGACCCCGTCACCCCAGTGGGGGTGAGGATCTCTGGTCATTTGTCATTGTGCTAAACAGTTCCCTGGGGGCTGCCTCTGGCTGGCCTCTTCCAGGTGGGTACAGATGTCAGGGAGAAGAGGGTGGTCTTGTCTGGAATTAGGCTCTCCTCCCTACCTGCCCCTTCTGGGTGGACGGGAGAGGGAACCAAGGGTGACACTTGGACGCTGCGCTTCTGGAAATGGGAGACGCGGCTCCCTACTCCCACCTGCGCATGGCTGGTGTGGCCTTCAGGGTCCGTGACCTCATGCCTCCTGAGCTGTAACTCAGGCCCCAAATGCATTTCCAAGTATGTGCCTCCAAATAATATCAAAACCCGGCAAGACTTAAGGGCAACAGGATGCATGTGTTTCTTATTCGTTCATTTACCTGAAGTCCCCAAGTGTGTGTTTTTTTTTTTTTTTTTTATGAGCAATCTGACTTCCAGAAAGAATGGAAAAAAAATATATATACCCGTCTTTAATGAGTTTGCTAATGAATTTTTCCTTGAAACGAGGAAGAGCGCTTAACACAGAAGGGACTTAAGCGGAAGGGGGTTGGAGGGAGACAACTTAAGGCCCCAAGGGGGAAAAGGGCCATGGACGATGGGGAAACCAGTGTGTTGTCCCCACATGGGAAAAGCCCCGGGTCGCTGGGAGCATTTGCTTTCTGGAAGGCTGGGATTTAACGAGTTGTGGGTATGTCCCAAGCAACGGCCTCCCTTCTGCACTGCAGCTCGGAGCCTGTCCCCTCTCCCAAAGGAGAAGGAAGTTTAACCTGGTCCACCATCCCTGATTAGAGCAGATGGAAAGTTCTGGAAAAGACTCGTGCCTTTCCAAATGAGGCCAATTCTAGCGTGGGGTTCCCCGTTTGAAAAAGAGAGGGATGAGTCTGGGGCAGGGAAGGCTTTAACTGTTCAGAGCGCCCGGTTCAAACAGGACAGTCCCAAGCCTCGGCGCTCCACGGGCTCTTGAGGAGAGGGTTGTGTGGAGGGGGTCTGTGTTTCAGAACCAGAAAAGAGGGCACGGGGAGGTCTGCCCCTGACAGCTCCCCCAGGCACACTTTAGGCTCGTCACAGGGACAGAACAGCATAGGAGAAGGGTCCTGCATTCGGCTGGACCCAGCAGCTTCACAGTGCCTGGAGATCTGAAATTTCTAGAGCCTTCTGGGTTTGAGTCAGGTCCTGGTACCAGTGCCCGGGCCCCTGTCCTCATTGTGGAAAGCTATGGTCACTCGAAGCAGACTTCTCAGTCTCTGTTCCTCTTCCCAGCTCCCTTCACCCCCCAGGTCCTCGGCAATTATCGGGGGTGGGGGTGGACAGGGTGCCACGCTGGTGCTGGGTGACCGAGGCCGGGGTGGGCTCCCAGCTTGGGTGGGGGGGCCGTGTGGGAGAGAGGAATTAATTAGGGGAGAGGACCACGGTGAAGGGTGTAGTCATGACTTTCTTAATTGCTCTCCAATTTCTTTGGGTTTAAAAAAGAGCCCAGATGGAGCGTTCTTAAGCCCCCCGTCCTGAGAGGAAGGAGGGCTGCCCACTACCTTTTGCCTTCTCTTTGCACAGTGAATAGGGTCTTTAGCAGGGGCTTAAGGAGGAGACTCTTAGCCTGGGAGCTCCCAGGGCCGTTTCAGATTGGGACAAAGGCGCAGGCAGAAAGGAATGTGGGGGAGCCCCCCACGGGGAACAGCCACCTGGGGATAATTGGGAGGGCCGAGTGCACATGAGTTTTCCCAGGTTCTCTGAATACACGCTTTCAATGGAAGGTGGCTTTTCTTCTGATGAAAAGAAGCAAACCTCAATTACCTTCCCCTGAGATGGAGTGTGTGTG